ACTTAAATAAGTTGTTGTGCGACTTAGCTTTTTTTCCTCTCGTCTACTTTCCCCAGAAAGTGTGCTACTCGCCACCGCCGCCGCTCCCTTTTTCTTCTTCCGGAAGGGAAGTTCTCGGGGGCAGCGCGATGCCTCCGGTATCACGGCGACGACGGTGACGATCGCACCGAAGGGGGGGAAGGTACCAGTACTCCTCGGGGAAGTCCTGAGGGCACCGGATACGCAATATATAATTCCGAACTCGCGCGACTTGCGCGATATTCGAGAGGTATTAATAAAGATGTTAAATTCATGGCAGTATCCACATCGCGTTACTTCTCTGCGAAACTCGGAGACCGGAGCTGCGTGCGTTTTGACTAGTACATTAACGGCCGGCACGCGCTTTCCATTCCAACGCGAACGAGTCCGCATCCTCTATTTTTCCTTCCCTCTCGATTCTCTTTTCCCCAAGTTTCCAACGTATCGTCATCTCATGTCAATTTTCATCATAATGAAAAGATTCTGGCGGGCGACTGTTGAAATATTGAAATAATAATCAAACTGAGAACCCTCGGTTTTTCCCCCAAGAATTTGCGACTCAAAAAAGCTTAAGAACCACTGTCTCATTAAATATTCACGCGTCTCGATATAGACGATCGATATCAGTGTCGTCGAAATTCGAGATTATTCGAGAATATTGTGAACAAACAATCCTCATATATTCTTTAGGCGAGGATGGGGACCCGTTCACGTCATCCAGTATCACGTCATCCGGTGTCACGTCATTAACCCCCCGACAAGAATACATTAGTTCGTGATTAATTCTTTTTATGCGTTAATGGACGTCAATGCAATTACGAAATGATACAATTACGTTTGAGAGAGCGTTAAACTCCGATGTTACGTCGAGAGATAACCGAGTTATCCGCGTAATTACTAACGATTAATAGAATTTTCACTGAAAAATGCACGCGATCGGTTAGCGCGCGAAAACGACGCGGTCGTCGGAGGATTAATCTCTTATTCAGTATCCAAGGAACACGTAAAAGTCAATAAAAAATAAAAAAAAACACTTTATTTTGACTCTTAATGTCAATAAAGAGTCAAATTTTGTAATAAAACAAATCATCGTTTTGACTTTTATGAAGTAAAAATAAAGTCAGTTTGACTTTTTTATGCCTGGTGTATTCCTTGGATGGAGAATCGTTCACCCAAGGAACTCTATTTTAATTTTTAATGTCAAACACTCAAATTTTGTAACAAAAAATCATCACTTAACTCTCATGAAGTCAGAATAAAGTCTTTTTGACTTTCTCATGTTTGGTGTGTTCCTTGGGCAGAAGAAAGCTTGATAATCTTTCTTCATTCTTTTCTACATGACGATAGCGTGAGTGGCCGATCGGATATTAAACGTCGCGCACGATCCGAAAGATGTGTGGACCACACGACCGGACATACCCGTAACGACGAGCGATATCGCTAGGAACAGGGAAGTTTGGCAGTCACGAGCGCCAAACTTACTCGCGGCAGTCGCCGGTCTCCTCGCTTCCGCTTCTTCGTATCGTACGATCTGAGAAACGCGTAAAACAGAGGAAAAGTAAACGTACGGCGATATAATAATAATAATAGTAATGATAATAATAGTAGAGTAGTAATAATAATAATCATGATAATAATAATAGTACAGCATTGTTTGTTCGGTATATGCATGTGTATGTATGTATGTGTGCACACGCGCGCGCGCGTGGTCGTTGACTTCCAATTCTGTAGTGTGCTGATATCGGAAGCATGGAGAGGAGACTGCTCCCCTCCTCGATGCGAGAAGTGCGCATCGATGGGTTACTGATGTCATCCCCGATCAACCGCACCGGTACCGCGGTTCCTGCTCTGCCACTTACACTTGAGAATCCTCACGTAGGTTCTGCGGAAAGCTGCGTTGCCCAGCGCGTAGCACATCGGGTTCACAGTACTGTTAATGTAACAAAGATAATAAACAAAGTCCCACAGCACCTGAGGTATGTACCATGAGCAGGCGGTGATGGACTTGAGGAGTACCAAGATGTTGTACGGGGTCCACGTGATAATGAAGGCCAACAGAATGGCTGACAACGTTTTCGCGGCCTTTCGATCGGCCTTCTTCTCCTGGATCTTCTTCTTCTTCTTGTTCGGCTGTTTGTTCAATATTCCCTTGCCAGTCGTCAGAGCCTTTGGTATGTTCTTCGCATTCAACGGTATCCTGATGTCCGGCATCTGCGATGGCCTTCTCATCGTCACCGTCGATGGGCTCGACACGGGCCCGCCGCCAAGACGGAAAAGCTTGCTAGCACCACTGCCGCTACCACCAACACCACCGTCATCCTCGCTGTCTTCCATCATAGGGTGCAACTGGATTGACATGGACTCGTCATGTATCATCCTTATGCTCGTCCCCTCGGTGAATTTCCCGCCGTTACCCGGCAATTTGATTAGAATTGTATAAATCTGGAAGTCAAGGAGACACACGCATAGTATAGATCTTCAAGAATCAATTGAAATCTTAAAGATAATAGGTTTGTTTATTATTATTACACTGGACTGCAACTTTCTTTCTCGCTTTCGACAAATTTCAAATAAGTATATATATATATCGATTTCACGTTAAATGCAAAAATTGTATACTGAAAAATTATATAATGAAAAAAATGTTCTGATTAAACCAATGGAAGACATCCAATAAGAACAAATCTTATATTTAATAGCTAAATAGTTAAATAAATAACGTGTAACTTTGGCTGCATTTTGCAAAAAAAGCAGTTTTGTAATTGTAAAATTCTTTAATATAATTGATCTTGTTCTTAGTTTCGAAATAGATGCATAGTAAGCCTTAAACCTTATTAATTGACCAATCATAAGCGAGTATTCTTCTCACATTCGACTGTAACTAATTAATTGATTTAATTATTTAACAAATTAATTCCTTAAGGCATTATTACATTTATTACGTTTTGAAAAACTTATAGTTCTTCACGGAATCTAAAGCTCATTCTACAATCGTATAAGCGTAGTTGTGATTGTATTATAAGAATTGATCTATCACGGTCAAATATTTCTCCTAATATTCGACTATGATTGGCCAATTCTTATAACTACAACTATTATTTATAATTGCACTTATGCAATTATAAAATGGATTTAAAATTTAATTATATTAAAGAATCTTAGCGAATTCAATTGGACGCACTCAGTGCGCACTGGTGCACATTAAACCCATACACAAAATAATGTAAAGATATCCCTGGTGGAAAAATTTTACTGAAATTATTCCAGCGTTTTGAAACGCTTTTCGGCAAAATTTTAACATTTCATAAAAATTTCAGCGATTTTTATTTGAAAAATTCATTTTTAGCAATATTTCAGCAAAATTTTAACAAAATTCAGAGAAGTTTCAGAATAATTTCAGTTTAATTTAAATGATTTTTCAGTATGTTAGCTGAAAAATTCACTTTCAGTGAAATTTCAATAAATTTTCAATAATTTCGCTGAAATGTTCCAAAAAGTGGAATAATTTCAGAAAATTTTTTCACCAGAAATGTTTATTATAAATATATGCCTGTATTCATAGTCAGACCTTGTAATTAAGGCTTCCTTAATTTATCTTTAGATGCTCAATAGCCAATGAAATAATTCGTAGAGTATCTGAAGATAAATTTAAGGAAGCCTTAAATATAAGGCCTGTCTATGAATACGGATAATAGAAATTGATTAAATCATGAAATACTCATATTTTAATGTACTATTAGATAAAATATATATTTCATAATTCGAAATATTTGCATTTCATTTTTATACTCAAATTAAATTAGTGTACAATGGCTTTAATATGCACCAGTGCACACTAGTGCTTCCAATCGAATTCGCCATTACAATAGCTGTAAAATTGCTTTTTCTGCTGAACACAGCCGTTGTTAATAATTTTAATAGCCGCGTGTTATAATATATTGATTCCTCTCGAAAACACATTAAGGTTCGTTTTCACAATATATGATTATCTCAAAATTAAAGATTATCAACAGATTCATCAATAAAATTCATTCAAATTTCTTAATTACTTTTAATCTTTAGGATAACTATATATTTGTGAAATCAAATTTAAAAGATGTTATCTTTTCTCAAGTTAATTCTCAAGTAAAAACGAATAGAAGCGTCACATACGGTATCGCTGGAAATATTTCTAAGGTCGACCGACCGTGCCGGCCTTTTGTATAACTCGTGCAGCGCAGTCTTATCCAGGGCGATCCCCGTGGCCTGTATCGCGCTGAGGGAGGGACATCGCGATACCGTGCTGGGAAGCGGCGTCTCAGCCGACAGCGGCGTGAGCGTGTCTTCGTAACCGGCCCCGGTGTGGCTGCTCTCCGGTCCAGCAATCTCCTCGTCGTCGTCTTCGTCGTCTCGACCGCTGTGCCACCATGCGATGCACCACATCTTCAGCCAGGTCCAGGAAAACGGCCTGTGCTGCACGTCCAAAAAACGAATACGGATAAGCGTAATTGCGAAAGTGATTAACCTAATCAAGGTTGCGTATGCAAACGTAACTTTGCGCCACATTGTAATATCTCTCTATCATAACGTAATATCGAATCCTTTCTGATTTTTCTTTGATAGCAGAAGAAGGTCACTAATATCGACATATAATTTTGTTTTTAAGCAATATTTTTTTAAACAAAAGCTAAAAATAAAATAAAACTTCAGAAATATAAATACAAACTAGAAAGTCAGATGATGTAGCAATTTTTATAATACTGTTTGCAATTTTGCAATAATTAACTTTTTGCAAGATAAGCAAAGATAAACGTTTAATGAAATGGATCCCAAAACTGACAGTGAGCAGTAATGTCACGTATTCTTATTCTTTTCCTTTTATAGAAAATAATTTATATGCTTTATGCTTATTAAAATATATAAATCAATAAAAATGTTTTTTTATCGAAATAAAAAGATTCTAAAAAATTTTATGTATATTCTTGTAGGTATTTTGTACTAAACTTAAATTGTATTAATAACTCCTAATAAAATTGTATTAATGACTCCTATAAAAAAAAAATTATCAACGACAATTTTTTTTTAATGTTTTCCCATAAGTACAGACTTGCTTTCAGCTTCGGTAGGGCTATTTGATATTATAACGCTATGTAAAGGTTAAGTTAGCTTATGATTTGTCTTATAAACAAGAATGATAATTTACGTTGTTCTCCGATTTTATATAAAATCATTTCAGCACAGAATATTTACGTTAAATATTCATAAATATTTATTATTTATTTTTTTTAATATTATATAAATATTTTATACATATTTTCTATAAACATTATAAACGAAAACATTTAAATGCAGACTAAATACAGACTAAATACTTATATAATATTTATGATGAGTATAAATATTTCTGATCTGTACAATCTAAGATGACAGAAATATTTACAATATTCAAATATTCAAAATAAATTTTACAAATATTTTGTAAATATTATATGCTGTTTAATATATGACAAAAATAAGAAAGAAAAAATATAAATAAATTTAGAAAACTACAAATATATAAAAAGATATAATATTATTAAAAATATATATAGCTTCTTATTAGCCATTCTTATTTAAATTACGCAATTTATAAAAGACAATCATAAGAATTTTATTTTCGCATTTGTAAAATTACTTTTTGCTGATGTTATATATACGAGCAAGCCACAGCCAAATATATGTATAAATTATGAATTTTTATTTCTTTAGTCATCTAAATAGATCATATTTTTATCGTATTAACGTAACGTTTAATTTCTGAAAAAGGGAGCTCTTTAGGAGATCTATCGGCGATTTTCCTTTCAAAATGCATAGAGATACATGAGAAAAGTTTCAAAGTAATAACAATTACTGATCCTGAATTGCGTGAATTGTAAATATAAAAGTTCCAACTATCAACGACATTTGTAAAGACGAGCAAATAGATAAACGTGCAAAGTGACTCCACTTGGTGTAATCGCATTCGCACTTACGGTTACAACTATACTTACGCTCTTATATTGCGGATAGTGCTTATCAATGTAGGAAACCGCGATGTGCGTAGCGTGCGAGACGTCATCGGCGATGCTCGATTCGCTTCGCTGCCTTCTGCTCTCCTCCATATCTAAAACCTCGTCACTATAGGGAAAAATATGAGCGTAAGTACGTCGAACTGTATTTAAATCTTTCGACTGCGCAATATTCGCAGAACACGGTTACTCGCGTTGTCAAAAGGCGTTACACAAACGAGAGAAAAAATATTTTTATCAATTTAAGATTAAACGAATAGAAAATATTTAACGAGATCCATAAATCTTGAAAAAATATTTTTATAAAGATCGTGAGCAAACATTAAAAAATAACAAGAATTATAAAAATAATCATAAAAGGCATTCAATAATATCTGAGGAGAAGGAAAAATAAATATGCGACTAAAATAATATCTTCACGTAAGAAAGAAATTAATTATAATTAATCTAACGATGTCAAATGTTCATTCAACCGGTGCATCTGTGCCCTAAAATCAAAGGAAGGGCTGATCTTCTAATTAGGACAATGTGTTACCATCTTTCTTGTGCAGGGGTTGCATTTTTTTTTTTTGATGACGTGCTGACAACAAGTTCGGAGAGAGAAACAATTGAAAGCGTTAGTTACCACCTCGAGTTGCTGCGCTTGCTCGCGTCTTGTTTGCCGGCCTGCAAATTCGGCAGGTCCTTCTGACGTTTCTTCGTTTCCAGCCAGATCCGCCAGTAAAGGAACGTCATTATCATGACAGGAACATAAAACGCGGCGATGGCCGTGCCGAAGGTGATGTAATGATTTGTCTCGATGAATTGGATGTAGCACGAGGCTTTCGGCACAGTCCTTTGACCCTCGATGTACGGCCATGCGTAGATCCAGGGTGGCCAAAGGAGCAGCGATATACCCCAAGCGGATCCTGGAACGATCATTATGTTGTTGCTTGGAGTAATTTTCAACGAACATTTGGTTATATTTATTGCAAATTTTATTTTATTTTTTAACAAACATATGACTGTAAAAGACTTGAGAACTCCAGATTCTTATTCGAAGGATTTGTTTTTATGTACCTATTAATATTAAAAAGGTCCTAGTTTAAGAACGAAACGTTTGTTAAAAATTTAAAAGACATTAAATATTAACTATCAAGAATCAGCTCTTTTTACCTTTTATTGTTTTCAACTGAGCCTAACAATTCAATTCTTATTCGAAGGTTTCGGATGATTATTTATCGAATATTAATTTAGACTTATCTGCTAAACATAAAGTAACATTATATTAATTTGTAATTTCTCACTCAACAATATATATATATATATATATATATATAAAACACATTGTGTGTGTGTGTGTGCGTGTGCGTGTGTGTGTGTGTGTGTGTGTGTGTGTGTGTGTGTGTGTGTGTGTGTGTGCACGACAATTACATTGTTGAGTAGAAAATTATATAGAAAAAAATAGTTTTGCTGAAGCATGAAAAAATTCAGCTAAATACAAATCTGAAAATAATTTTGTTGGACCAAATAATTATGTAGAACATTCAAATGTTGACGGCAATGCTGCGAAAAGTTTTAATTCCAGTCAACAATTTAAGCGCCCTATATAATTATTTTGATAGTCCAAATAAATTTATCTTCAGATCTATATCAATTTTTATATTTTGGCAAAACTTCTTTCTGTGTTACTTTATGGTTAGCGGGTATATTGAAGCATACTTTTGAGGCTTCCACGAGTATTTTCTTTAAGAAAATTATGCGGGGTTTATGGATTATCTCTGTGACTTGATACGTCGTTAAATGCCAACGTTTCGTGAATATTGCAGATCACTTATCAGGGCGAGAAGCAACCTTATACTGATCAGTATCAGATTGCTTCTCGTCCTGTTCAAGTGAACTATAACGTTCACGATACTACAATGTTCACGAAACGTTGACATTTAATGATAATGTATCAAGTCACGGAAATAAGCCATAAACCGCGCAACTTTCTATAATATATTGGAATATGTTAATTTATTATAAACACGATATAAATTATTTTATCAATGTCTACTTGAATTTTTTAAAAAAGAATGGTTAAAAAATTTGTTGATTTTTCAGGCAAAACTGGAGCAGTTTTAAATCGCAAATTATATATAACCCTTAGACGATTGGATCATTCAAGTGCGCTCTTTCTTCTTTTTAAAATACCAGGAGCACCAAGTATAATTAGTTACAACATTTATGTATAATTTTTTAAATACAATCTTACAAATACATTTTAATGATGTTAAAATTGGTATACTCGTAAAAGTGACACAAAATAATCCGGAACACTCATCGTGTGAATTAAGAATTAAAAACAAAATCTCCGAAGAGAGACAATTTCGATAAAAATTTCTTGAATCTCGAAAGTCTTTCGAGAATTCTACGATTTCTCCAGACGGAAAAACATTTCAGGTTTCCCAACAATTTTTTTTCCCTCTCACTCCATTTCATAAATTTAATATATACTCACCTATCATGACGGAGGCTTTGAAAGTGGTCCTCTTGGCCCGATAGGTAAGCGGACGCGTAACTGAGAAATATCTGTCGAAGCTGATAATGAGCAGATTAAGGACCGACGCATTACTCGCGAGATAGTCGAGGGCGAGCCACGTGTCGCACACGAGGGGCCCGAGCGGCCAGTAACCGAGTACCGTGTATATCGTAAAGAGGGGCATGGAGATTAGGCCGATCGCGAAGTCGGCCACCGCCAGGCTGAAGAGGAAATAGTTGGAGATCGTCTGCAGATTTTTGTCGATCTTGAATGATATCATGACCATAATATTGCCGACGACCGTGGTCATACTGAGGATGACGGCGATCACTACTATCGTCACACGCTCCCATACCGCATATTGATGGGGCTCACCGCCACAGTCAAGACCATTGCTGATGCTGTAGTTGTCATTGCCGGGTATCTCCACCATCGGAGTAACGTTCATGTCTGACGGACTATCTCTCCCTGTCTCTTCTCTCTCTCTCTCTCTCTCTCTCTCTCTCTCTCTCTCTCTCTCTCTCTCTCTCTCTCTCTTCTCTCTCTTTCTTTCTCTTTATTTCGTTAATTCAAATAATCTCGACAGTCCCAGTGCCTTATTTATATTCTCGTACCGGGGCGCCTCCGGTTCGCGCGGGCAATCGCGCGTTCTTTGATCCTCTCGCGAACGGATCCCTGAAGCTCACGACTCGAATCCCGATCCTCGGGGCACCACCGCCGGACCCACGTAGCCCGCCTCACCCTCGTCCGACCTTTCGCGTACTCTTTTACCATGCGCGCGGCAGGTACGCTGACGCAGAGCGTGTTCGCCCACGCGGGCGTGCGCGCGCACGCACGCCCGCTCGCACGCACGCACGCACGCACGTACGCACGCACGCACGTACGCGCGAACGCGCGAACGCCTGCACGCTTCCGATACCCCTCGTCGCCGTACAACGGGATTCGGTGAACGGTACCACCTTCACCGATGCTACCGTCGCGATCTCTTCCCTTCTCCACCACCTTCTTTTCCTCGTTCTCCTCGTCGTCGTCGTCCTCCTCGTCTTCGTCTTCCTCCTCCTCCACCTCCTCCTCCTCCGCCTTCTCCTCCGCCTCCTCCTCCTCCTCCTCCTCCTCTTCCTCCTCCTCCTCCTCCTCCTCCTCCTCTTCCACCTCCTCGTCCACCGCCTCCGTCGTCGTGCTCTCGCTAGGTGGAAGGTAGTGTCAACTACATCCCACGTTTGCTCCTCTCGGTGGAGACATTGAGTCTGCGAGAAAAGACAAAGCAAATATACCGAAAAATTATATCAGAAATTATTAGCATAGTGATATTAATGGGATCATATCAATGATCGGAAGCAATATTTACTTTCTCATAGATATTCGATACATTATAGTTCTCCGATATATTTATATTTCATTGCTGCTAAGCAAACGTCAAATATCAATAACTATGAGATATATGCAGAAACGTTTCCTCATGAATACTTCTGTGCGATGACAAAAGGGAATTTAAAGTATAAACTAATACGTGACTTTTATTAAAATCTGTATAACCGAGATTAACTTTCCTGCTACTACCGAGATACAACTATTCATTCGACACAAGTACTCGTATCTGATTTCGCGCGACAGGCGACTTGCCTTAATCCTCGTCATCGCGCTTTAGAGATACTAGTGGCATATTAAAAAGAAAAAAAAAAACGAGACGAAGGAAGAAGAGAGAAAAAGTTCTTTTTATCTACTTCGGCACGGCATGAGACTACTGTCAAGCGTACCACGAAAAGCGCAACCAATGCCGAGGGGCTTCCACTCTGTTTCCCTGAATTCGCGCGAAAGACTTTGTACTTTTTCTCTCCTCTCTCTTGACCGCCATTTCATCTTTAAGGAGATCTTAAAATCGTCTGTTTTACCGATTCAGGAGGACTTTCACATATACGATTTACGTGTCACTAACACATCACAATAAATGTTCCAGTGACATGTACTTATTTAACAGTGTGTAATTACACAAAATTTATTATTATTAATCTCTTTCTTTTATTACAATATTATTATAATTGTATTTAAAGATTACAATTAAATTATAATATTATATGTATTAAAAAAAAACGTTTGGGATAGTAATAATATAAACAAATAAAGTTTTGCGTAAAATACATTGTTAAATTTATAGTGTCAAATTTAATTAATTTTAACTTGTCACTGTGTGTATGCGTGTGTGTGTGTGTGTGTTGTGTTTTTATTCAATGTATTGTTATTTTATACTAAAGTAATGAATAAATTTGACACTGCATAGTTAAATTTATTGAGAGGGAGCGCAGTGGCGATTTAAATTAGTCGAATTTGACACTATAGATTTAACAGTGTAGATACATTTCCGGTCACTGGGACGTTTACCATATTACATCGATATTGCATGCATACGTGCAGATGTGCAAATTTTCCAATTAATTAATCTTTCATATTAGATATCTAAGTCTAAATATCGTTAAGAGATTTGACACCACTTCTGATTGGTCTGCCATATTTTTCAAGATTTGCTTAAGATATCATGAAATATATAGATATCTCATTCTATCTTAAGAATTCTGAAAAATATGATGGACCAAACGTATGATGTTCAATCTCTTACTTGAGGATCTCTATCTAAATCTAATTCTAAGAACTCAACATTGTTTGATCAATCCTAGTCCAAATCAAGTTTGTTTTATACATATAAGTACAAAACTTTTATTTAAAACATATATTGTTGCGCCGGAAATCGATAAAAAAACTAATTCTCCAACTCCTTTTCGGCATAAAGTCGACTGGTTTGGAGTACGTTATCGTTTACTTAATTATGTATGAGTATGTATATCGAAAGAATTTTTAAATCTTTATATAAGGGCAATTAGAAAAATATTTAGTCGTAAAAAATAATAAAATAGACGACTTGAAGATCTCCTTAACGAGCTACTTATTCATCATTCGTTTCAAGCAAATCGGACGCGAAATGCATCTCAAATTTATCAAGCGTTCGCACTTCCGTTTTCGGAGTACAAACTATAATGCATTTACTCTGCGATTTCCGTGTTAGCTTCTATACGTCACTTATCGAACTTGAAAACGAGAGAATGGATTATCGATGATCAGATAGATCCTTTTTTTTCGCTAACGCGCAGTAATCTCCTGAATCTTAATTCCGACATGATAGAAAATATGAAAAAGACATGGTAGAAAATATGGAAAAATCTCTCTCGCGCGTCTGTTACACGAATAAAAATTCCATTAACGAAACTTTCCGATCCGACGTTGCATTTCTCCGTCAACAAGATTTACTTGTTCCGTTAAAAAATTCAAAAAAGACAAAATTAACTTATGCCACGACTTTAGACATGTACTGAGAGGTTCGCTGTAATAAGCGCGTTTTAATACGGAAGTAACATCGGAGCAGCTTGCGCAGAAAATGTCGGGCCGAAGTTTTGAACCTGTTATCGTCTAGAATCACACAATTCGATCGCGTTCCTCTCATGCGCTCGTCTCGTCGTCGAAAACACGGGAATGCCTACTCGCGGGGATGCGGCGGCGGTCCAATTACGGACGTATTTCACTTGCTGACTTGTCTATTTAATCGCGCGCCGCTTCGCCGTGGCAGTCTTATTCGCAGGGAATTTTGCGTGTCACGAATTAGATCCGTCTGTGCAACAGCGTATCCGGAAGAGCTGTACCAAGACAGTTAATTTGTACAATTAATTGACATTTGTAGGCAGACGAAACAGAGACGGCAAATAAAATGCGTTTATGTCTTAATAAATAATTTTCTCTCATAGCGTTTCGACGATCAAAGAATTCTTATATCGAATCGTATAAAAAAAAAGTTTCAAAGACTTAAAATGTATTCTCGATTCGAAATTCGATTAATTCTGCACTTTCAAGAATATTGGAACATCACTAGTTTTACATATCGGGAAGGCAAAGCCTGTTAAGGCAAATTAACCTGCGGAAATGAGAATCAGTAAGCAAAGTTTAGTCTTAATTCAATTTCAGATGGATTTTACTGTAATAAATCGGTTTTGTGGAGTTAAAGTTTAACTACCAATTAAAAGAGGTTCAAAAATTCTTCAGAATCCGCTTCCTGATTCTCCGCCGAGGAGACTTCACGGCCTTCCCGACTGAAGGATTTCTTCGAAAGAATTTCGTCAAAAAATTTCATCTTGTCTTTTTGTCCGCGTGGGAAACACTGGGATAGAGGACATACTATTAGAAGGAAGTAACGTACTCGATAACTGCCATAATTGCGACAGATTCCTCATCGAATGCGGCCAGTTCGATATCCCTGGCGAGGCGGTCGAACTGCTGCTGCGGCAAGGGCGTGGAAGGATGCATGTTGCGTCAGGTGTGCAACGCGATTACCTCCCTGTTAAGTGCGCATGGCATGCTCGACGCCTGTAATTATAGAAATGCCAGCGATATTTAAATCTTTTTGCGACAATATACGTGCAGGAATATACTTTAGATCTATCGCGAATACTGGATAGAATTTAACGTTATAAGGTGGATCAACTTCTTGAGAAGAGACAGAGGGACATTTTTTTTTAAATTCAATATTAACTATCGTAATTAAATTTTAATAGACTTTAAACTTTTTTATAATTATTAATAAAATGAACAATACATGAACAATATTTTGTTATTATACTTGTAATAATATTTAACTTATGTAACATCATGAGATCATAATAAAAGTTACATCAAGTTACGAGATCACATTTTATTTTTTAAATTGTATGTTTCTACTGAATGTATTTTTATGTTAATATTTGGATTTTTTTTTAATAAAAAAAATCATAAGATTCTTCACATGTTAAAAATTATACTTCACAAAAATTATACTTAATAGATAAACTTTTGTAATTATTAATAAAATACATGAATAATATTTTGTTATTATATTCGTAAATAATTAATAATACTTAATTTATGTAACATCATGTAACAAAAGTTACATGAAGTTAGATCACATTTTATTTTTTAAATTATACGTTTCTACTATGTATTGTATTAATGTTTGGATTTTTAAATAAAAAAATCATAAGATTCTTCACATGTTAAAAATTATATTTGTTATTTTCATATTGAAAAGAGGGACAATTCATAATCATGTCCAATTGGGGATAAAAAATTTCGGATATTTTAGGACTGTCCCTCCTAATTTAAGATGATTGGTCACCTTAACAGGCCTACCTCTCTGAGAATCGAATAATTCGAGCATTTGAAATTCCAGACAATCGTCTGGAAAATATTTCAAAGGACTCTTACATTATCATCTATATTCCGTAACTGTCTGGTACAATATTACAATTGTGCGACATATAAATAAGTCCTCGTCTATCCCGAAGTTTAAATAATACACGCCTTCTCCTTTTAATCTTCAGATTCATCCAGTGTTCGCGCGAAACCCAAAATTAGTTTCTCTTTATACGAACTGTCGAGAAATCAACGATATTACTTGGCTGAATCAATGGCGTTTTATGCCGGTC